GGCCCTCTTGGGGGACAAATTGCACGCGTTGTGAGGCGTCTTGGAAGCCTCTTGGGGGCTGCTGGGGGGCCTCTTGGGGGCCTCAGGGGGTCCGTTGGGGCGGGGGGCTCGTTCCAATTCGATTTCCCCAGCCCGGGCTCCTCTTGGGGCCATTTGGGAGGCCGTTCGGGCCATCTCCGCTGCCTCTAGGACTGTCTTGGGACCCTCTTGGGCCGTATTGGCGCCCTGTGGGGGTTCTCTTGGGCCGTGTTGGGGCGATCGTAGGGGCCCCCGAGGCTGTCAAGCACAGTGCGAAGACGAAAAACACGAATGCGGTTAATTAACATGTACGTTTTACGCAGGGAATGGAGCCATTTTTGCCTCTCGGGGCCCTCTGGGGGGCCAAATTGCACGGGTTATGAGGCGTCCTGGAGGCCTCGTATCATCTTGGGCTCCTCTTGGAGCCCTCTGGGAGGCCGGTGGGGCCGTCTTGGGTGCCTCTGGGACCGGCCTGGGACCCTCTTGGGCCGTCTTGGCGCCCTCAGGGGAGCCTCTTGGGCCGTGCAGGGGCGATCTTAGGGAGGTCGTCAAAGATGGCGCGAAGACGGAAAACACGAATACGGTAAAAATGCACGTTTTACTGAAGGAATGGGGCTATTTTTGCCTCTCGGAGCCCTCGGGGGGGGGAGGGAGCGAGGGGGAGGGGGGAGGGGGGAATGGGGGGGGAGAGGGAAGGAGGGAGAGGGGGGAGGGGGGAGGGGGAGGAGGGGAGCGGGAGGGGAGAGGGGAGGGGGGGGGGGGGGGGGGGGAGAGGGGGGCGGGGGGGAGGGGGGGGGGCGGGGGGAGGGGGGGGGGGGGGGGGGCGGGGGGGGGGAGGAGAGGGGGGGGGGGGGGAAGGGGGGGGGGGATGAAGGGGAGGGGGGGGGGAGGGAATTGCACAGGTCGTGAGGCGTCTTCGAAGCCTCTGGAGCCGTTGGAGACGTCCCGTGATGCGTCGGAAAAAAGCAGTCTTCGGGGTGGTGGGCGGCTGGCCGGGGCCGCCGTGGCGCTCGTCTCGGACCGCCCTCCGAGGCCCCCCAAGGTCCAGCCGGGCCCCCAGGCCACACATTTTGAAGGGGCCCTGGGACACACGGATTCCCAGTATTTTCCAATATTTTCTGTGTTTTTGTCTTCCCCCCACTTCCCATGGTTTCCCATATTTTCTGGGGGATCGACGATTCATTGTGTCTGACCTTTTTACCTAACAGCGAA